CACTGTAAGAAAAAAAATTGTTAGAATATTTTAATATAAAAAGACTATATATATATATATATATATATATGATTTTATAATTGGTTTTTACAAATGGTCGTACCGGATTCTAACCAATCGGGCGGCAGCCGTCTGCCGGACGGCGTCGACTCCATCACGGAGGTGGACGGCCACGGTGTTCCTTGTGTTGCCGGCGAGCTCTCTTTCGACGGCACGTGTCTCGTAACACCTGGATGGTCAAGTCTCTCTCTCTCCTCCGCGACCGTACGCAGGCAAGTGAACACTAATTCCAAAATCCCACGCAGAAACAAATTCAGTAATTACAGACTTGTCCTCACCAAACTCTTCTCCATCCCATATAAATCCACCCCCTCTCCCTCCAGTCCCGAAAGTTTCAAGATCTTCCTTTTTCCATTCCAATCCAATCCAATCACCTCGCCGCAACGTCAATTTCGGCGATGTCAACCTCCGCCGTTCATCTCCCACCAGGCTTCCGCTTCCACCCCACCGACGAAGAACTCATCTTACACTACCTCAGAAATCGCGCATCTTCGTCCCCATGCCCAGCTTCCATCATCGCCGAGGTTGATATCTACAAATTTGATCCTTGGGAACTTCCTGGTTCGTAACTACGATTCATAAAAGTGTCTTTTTTATCATTCTTTCCAAAGTTTTACACAGTGCAAACATGGTATTTGACGCTATGCTTCTGTGCAGAAAAAGCGTCGTTTGGTGATCGGGAATGGTATTTCTTCAGCCCGAGGGATCGAAAGTACCCAAACGGAATCCGGCCGAACCGCGCTGCGGCGTCTGGGTACTGGAAAGCAACGGGGACTGATAAGCCTATTAGCTCTGGGAGTGAGAACATTGGAGTGAAGAAGGCGCTTGTGTTCTATAAAGGCCGGCCTCCTAAAGGGCTCAAGACTAATTGGATCATGCATGAATATAGACTTGCAGATGCAAACAAAAGCAATAGCTACAAGCCCATCAGAATTCGAGATCATTCCATGCGGGTAAAAATTTGATCTTTGGTATCACTTGTTATCTAATTTTTGTTTGCTGCATCTTATGATCCCCTGTTTTGCCTAATTTCAGCTGGATGATTGGGTTCTCTGCCGAATCTATAAGAAGAGCAATCACCTGTCGCCAACAATGGCGGATCAAGAACAAGAAGATCCATGCGGGGAAGAAACCTGCTTTCCAGCTATGGAAAACCAGATGATGCCACAGAACCATGGAATGAAGCTACAAAAAGCTTCATCCATATCAGAATTCCTCAAAGATTACTCCCCGCTATTGAATCTTTTGGATAATCAGCCAGAGCTTCCAATGTTTGATACCAATTCCATTATTGGCCACCCACTTTTATCTCAAACCATTATAAATCAAAGCCGAGAAGGTAACGGCACTGGTTACTTTCTCCCACAGCTCTCGCAGGCAGATTCCCCTGTTTCCATTGGTGCAAAGCGCCAAAAAATGGCTGACTGCAATTCTGAAGAGAGCAGTGGAATTCTGCAGTTTTTGAAGAAACAGAATGATCTCAATATGTTTCCAAACTTCTCCAGCCAGTTTGATGTCTCACAGTACGGCTTGTTGAGCCAACCATTGCTGAGGAATTCTAACATTGGTAGCCTCTAATGAGTTCATATACATCAGTTATAGTGGAACTAAGATATTAAAGAATGAAGGCTTAAAGAGCTCTCTGGTATACTGTTTTTCTCTCTTTTTTGTAAAGTTAGCTTCAATTGTATTATTGCATGGGGATGCGGGGAAAGACAAATGGAAAATATTAAGAATTTTCCATATAATTCTTTTGAAAGAACTCTTAAGATGTAATAGAAATAGTGGAGTGGTAGATAGTTTGTGGATTGGGGTATATGTTGAAGCATGGTTCATATTTCCTTAATAAAAATTTAGATATTGTTAATTTCATCATACTGATTGATAGCCAATGGATGTTATCTTTCATTGCGAGTTAATGCTTGCAAGTACATTATACCATGACACTTATCTTTGAATTGATGTAAGAAATGGAATCCTTATCAATTAGAAAAATATAATAATCATTTGGATATTAGGAGTACAGGGTTAGGTTCACACCCTATGAAAGAGGCGAGGTAGATACTCAACGCTTTGATGATAACTTCTTGGATGATTTAAGATGTATTATTTATCCTATTTTTTTATATTAAATAATACAATCTTTCTCTTTATCAGATCTCTCTTTTTTTCTTTTATTTTTATTTACTTTGCCAGAACATAGTTCTGCTTGGTCTGTTGGCTGAAGCTTTAACCACCAACTAAGAGGCATTGGGTTTCGAGTCTTGCGTATGTGATGTGTGTGTGAGTTTGTCATAATTGACCTAAATGTCCCAAAAAAAGAAAACTTTGCCAGAGATTCGTGATGATAACTAACTTATGTTTGAGCTATAGGATAATTGTGAACATGTTAAATAAATGATGATTGGTATGAATTCCTTAAAAAGAGAGAGTGTGAAGAAATTATAACATGTGACCAATGATTTCTCTCATTTATTATTTTCTTGCATATCCCAGCTTCTATTAGGACATCTTCAAGGTGGGCACTACAATTTCTATTTTATTCAGCTTTGATTTAAGCATCAATCTAATAAGGATTAAGTGCTTTTAGAATTAATACAAATCTTCCTTTACATTCTCATCAAGCAATCATCTTGCTAATACAAGGATAGCTTCTTAGAGATAAGACTTGGTTGACTAATATGTTAGTTTCCACCTATAAAATTTCTGACGTGAAATCCTTCTTAAATGACCTATAATAAAAATCTTTGAATTGAACTGATATGGTACATTGTTGAGATAATCGAAGTAATTTTATTTATTTATTATTAGGATTGGTTGTTAATTGAAAAGGATAGTGGAATATTCTGGTGGCTCACCTATTTCTCCACTTTGCCACTATGCCTGAGGTGGATGAGCATGAAGAAAAAAATGTTTCTCCATATTTTTAGAAGTAGATTTCTTATTAGGAGAAATAACATATTAGTCAACCAAGTCTTATCTCAAAGAAGCTATCCTTGTATTAGAAAGATGATTGTTTGATGAAAATGTAAAGGAAGACTTTTAGGACATCAATCTAGTATTTCTAATAGCACTTAATCCTTATTAGATTGATGCTTTAATCAAAGCTGAATAAAATAGAAATTTTAGTGGCCCACTTGAACTTTGTACATATTGACTTTCTTTATACAAGGAATCTAATAGCATATTCATGGCACACCTTTTTTTTTTTTTTAATATAATCCATTTGGTTTAGCTTTAGGCTTCTTTATAACAGCTTTTTTAATGCTTTGTAAAATAACTCTTCAGTACAAAATTTTTTAGTTCAAGAAATTTTTATACTAAAAAGCTATAAGAAAGCTATCCCAAACGAAGCTTTAATCCAATTTCAGATGTTCTTGATGATGTTTCCTTGAGAATTCTTTTGTATGTAGCGTTGCTGTTGTGTGCATATTGAAGATAGAAAGATGTTTCTTGTTTGAGGAAATATAATGGTATTAATCATACAAGCATTGGCATATTAAGTGCTTTGGCAATCCATATTATAGTCATCCATTTATGAAACTTACTTTCATTATTAGGATTTTAGAAGGGGATCATCTAAATCGCTTTCAAGGTAGATTCAACATCCACCTAATCATCTTATATATATTTCAACAAAGTCTAGTTTTCTCACCAAGCTACTCTCTGGTCTGATGGCAGTCCCAACCACTAACCTTTTTCCAGACCTGAAAAGTATCAGATTGGAATGATAAACATCCAAAAAGAGAACCAACCCTTTATGTTATAATCATTACAAATCTGATCTGTAATGTTATGTTATACTATTAGCAGATATTAATGGTTTGATTCTATGACATCTTGAAATAACAAAAACATTACTGTTATAATAACCATTAATCATTGTAGATTACTGTTAAACCAGTCTAGCCGGTCCAACGGGACCGGCTTACGCAAAACAGGCGGAACTCTCCGCCCTCTTGTACGTGCCGAATGCGTCGGGGGCTGTTTTAGAAGGATTTTTTAGGGTTTTGGGAGGGAAGTTTGAATGTAGGGACTGTTTAGAAATTTCCTTTTGAATTGTATGCATTAAATAGTTTGTTTTTCTAGGATTAGGACATCTTGAATTTGGCTGAAATTTGAGATCTCCCGGATTTAGGTTTTCCTTTGTGCTCTAGCGGCGTCTAAATATTGGGCAAGATCGATCCTCCTCTCGAATAGAGGATCAATTGTATCTTGGTATTTTCCGCTTCCTTTTCATCAAATAGTATAAATTATCTATTGTTTTCGTGATTTTGTGTGGATTTTTGTGGAGAAATCGATGTTTTCCGAAGATTGATAGGAAATACTTCAGATCTACAAGTGTTTCCTATCAATTACATTACTGCAAGATAATTTTTTAGTGGAAGTACACCATTCAATGAATATTACAACATTATTATCTAAATAACATCAAACCAAATGACCTCACAATTTTGTATCATTGTAACTGAAACATCAAAAGCTTGGAAACGAAAATCAATCAACAAGAAACCTTTGCTGGGAAGTTGAATTTAAGGAAATAAAACAAAACTTCAGAATCACAAATCAATGATTGTCGATTCATAAGCAAATTATTTGTATTTATTGTATTTTCTCCACTTTGCTCGCAGTCATACAGAGCTTTGAAGGTTGTCATATTTAGAAGCAAGCACCAGCTATAGCCATGGTAGAGTTCTGTCAGTTTTCAGTTTCCATTATAATAACATTTCTTCAGAAAATTTCTCCTCGAGCATCCCTATCACCGAAAGTTTTCATGACTCGGTTTTTCAATGTGGTTTAATATAATTAATTGAACCTGTAGCTCTCAATGGATGACAAAGTAAACACGTGCATTGATGTCTGATTTTCTTTTTGAAGACTCTTTGGACAACTGTATTCAATTACTTGATTTTTCTAATGGATTGAATGGGAGAAAGGGATACGCATGCAAAGTAAAAAATGCAGAAAAGAGGTGGAATCAGTATATTGGTCCACACTTGTGCTAAACTGTTTATGATGAACTCTTTTTTTTTGGTTAGGAAGGCGAAAAATAAGAGACTCAACTCAATATATTTATTTTGGGATATTTATTATCACAATAGCTTAAGCTACTACGAAAGAATGACTGCAAGTGGATTAGAAACTTAGGCTTCATTTGGGACGACTTTCTTAACAATCTCTATCTTTCTCTCTTTCTCTCTTTCTCTCTCACACACACATGAAATAATTTTAGTAGCAAGAAGTAATTTTTTACAATCATATATGCTATAGTGTGAGTAAGGGTGGAACCAGTCATAATTTTCAATGGGGCAAATTTATAAGCAACTGTTGGCAGATATGTCGGGGGTCCAAGTGGGCAGCGCCCCTGCGGGGATTTCCAGGGGTCCTCGGAACAAATTTTGATTTATTATTTCTCTTTGTATTTGGTTCAACTACTTTGCAAACAATTGCAACTATCTCGGATGGATATTGGCAAATGGATGTTAAGTTAACAACAAAAGGTTAACTTCTTATTTTTCTACTGTCATATGCTTATTTGCTTTCCTGTTAGGATGATCCATTGCAGAATAGGTGCAGACAGTGCAAACCAAATCATTTTTTTGTCTTAATTTGTTCATTGAAATGGATTTCTGACAGCAAAATGAACACTGTGATCCATAAAATAACTTCTATAAGTTAAAACAAAATAGAAAACCATAAGCCCAATCAAATTGACACTGAAACACAGAAGAACACATCAGATGATATATTCTTAAGAAAATTGTTACCAGCTCCAAATTTTTTTGACTCTGAGGTTAGTCCCCTTTCAGGAAGCAAACTGAAAATCTGAAAGAATTCCTGCAACATATACATTTTTAATGATCATAGCTTAACAAGTTTGATAAGTAATCTCCAAATGTGCTTAATAAGAGCCATTAAACAAGCAATGTAGGTGTTTAATGTCAAATGTCTTCCCTCACTAAATTGGCAAAAACAGTATTAAATTCAAATATGACAATGACTGCAACAGTTAAATTAACAGATGCAGAGCTCCAAAAGCTGACATATGCCATACCTCAACTTAATATTTTTCTCAAAATTAACAAATCAACATTTACATAAAACATATTAAACAAATATACTATCTCTTAGGCAGATTAGGTAGATAATCTCTACCTAAAGTTGCAATTAAAAATGATATGATTGTGTCATGCTGTCATCATAGTATATTCTCATATAGATAGAGTAGTCTTACACATGAGATTGGTTAGGTAAACTTGTCAGTTTTTTATAAGTATTAGAGAATGAGAGAGCATGTAAATGGATTTTAACAATGAGTGAATAGAATTGGAAAAATATTTGATTTCGTTTGTGATAGTTTTCTTTTTATTTTCTAAAGTAAATTTAAGTGCAAAATTTTTTTAAATGACAAATTTTTTTATTGAAAAATTGTTTTGGAAAATAGTAAGAAAGCTGTTCCAAAGAAAGCCTTAATCAAAGGGAGAAAATTTATATTGATCTTGAAGGCTACCTTTTAGTTTACCTCATTGCAAGCATAATCAACAACATTTAGGGGCTGTTTGGTAGAAGGATTTTGGCCGGATTTGAGGCGGATTTGAGCGAAATTCAGCCACAAAGCCTAAAATGCAAAACCAAATCTCACGGTAAATGAAAACCATGTTTGACGGAAAATTTTGCCTTTTCATTGTAAATCCCGGATTTCCAAAATCCTCTCGTTCGGCATATTTAAACTAAAGCAGCGCTGTTCGCCTCTACTTCTCACTCTCGCCTCTTCAAAATAGTCAAACAGTTACACAGGATTTATCATAAATGTTACCAAATAGTTTTTAGGATTTTACCACCCTAGGATTTTTCGAATCCGTATTTAGAGGTTT